AGCCGAGTCAATTTTTTTTGAACAAGCTGGCTCGTGCTAAGCTAGGCCCGAGCCAGCTCATGTGGTTGGCGCACATTAACATTCCTACGGTCAGTGGCAGCCAGCCAGCCACCCTCACTGCCATCCCCACCTCCACCTCAAAATATAAGTAAAATGAAAAGAAAACAATTCAAGTCCGTTTGACACTCAGCAAACTAGTCGCATATCCTCCGACAGTCTCAAGGACAAAATACGTAAAACAATAAACACACGACTGCTATATATACCACACCACCAGTAAAAAACAATTAATAACTTTTGTCTCCTCAAAATAACAAGAAAAAAACTTCAAAACACTAACATGGAATTAATCAGTTCTTCACTACCTGGACAGTGCATGCCCCAAGGTAAAAGATGTATCAAATATCTAGATATCAATCTACAACCACAAACACGAAAACAATCCATACATTTGAAAGTAGTTTTCCACAATTCCTTTGCAGCACACTGCATTTGTACTCTAGTATGGCCACCAGTCTGGGCCGCCAGGCTTCTTCACTAGGATCTGATTATATTCAGGTCTTGAGGTCTGCAGGAAAGTTCATAAATAGCTATATAAACTCTCGTACTCAATACTAAATTACAAATCGAAGCAGGGGAATGCAAGACAAACACACACCCACAGAAAAGAAAACAAAATATAGGTACACCTCAGATTCTCAGAAAGGAATTCCCTCAGATTCTCAGAAAGCAAGAATTCCAGCTGATGATATATGGTCCAATTCAGCAAAAAGCTTACTCAACAGGTTTCATATATAAAAAGAAATGAATGCAACATACAGAAATAATTGACCCTTTTCACGCTTACATAATACTGAAATCCATTTCTAGCCAACCCCAAAAAAAAAAAAGTTGATTTATCAAATTAGATTATTACCTTTCCTAACATGTTTTCCAGATGTTCAACCTTTGAATTCGAAGCTCAATAAATTTCCATGCAAAACTTTTAAAAGGATAAGTATAGAGGTCACAGTTCACATTTATAAATTAAGAGAGAGCACCATTAGACTCTATACCAACTTCAATTCATACAAACTGATAATGCTTGGATGTACAGTTATACAATTCCTAAGAGAAACCAATCTGTTGCAAAAATCTGCTTTGGAAAATTTTTGAAAAGAAAACTATACAATACAAGCTATCATGCCACACTATGATTGACCTCAAAAATTGAAGTCAAGGGACACGCTAAAGATTTCTTCTTTATCTATTCTTCAGAATGAAATTAGAAAAGCGGACTAATGTTTCCTTGCACTTGTCAATCTATTTGATAATTTGGAAATCTCAAACAAAGACGAGGACATGTCCTACATTTCTTGTCATTCATTATTGCAGTCATCAATTTGATTGGCACCCAATGACCAAAATCGTAATCAAAATTCTAATTGTTTCCATCATTTCCAATATCTATCTTGGATGAAATATTCTCATCTTTTTAATAAAATTTGGAACATGATTGAGCTAGTTTACATGAATCAGCATTGAGGTTGCCGTCCACTATTGAAATTCCGTGAAAAAAAACTTAAAATTCAATTTTTAAATGATGCAAAGTTACTTTAGATTAATGGGGCATAAAAATGGAGTAATGTGTCATTGTTTACTGTATTTTTACCTCTGAGGGATCAAGAAAAGGAAATTAATTAAGCAAATTGCTAGAGAATTTAAATATTTAAACGTTAATTCTCAAAATTACACCGACAATAAACCTAATCAAGGGCCATCTATACTACTCAATCATGCTCATTCGGGTTGACTGTTGACACCCCGAATAACACTTCCCTAGGGTAGAACCCACGCGTCAACCCTGGATGTACAAATAGCATTACTCATACTCTATATGCAAGTACGCTAAGATGCTTATTTTCAATTGAATAACAGTCGACTGCTGATTGATGCAACTATTGTACTGGTTATCTCAAATATGAAAATAAAATAATAATCAATCAGAATTCTAAATAATAACGATAAATTATAGAATTAAAATGAAAAAAAATTGATCAGGGGCCTAACTTAGTATTTTATTTGGAGAATGTGTGATTGAAATGAAGAATGAGAATGAGAATGAGAATGAGAATGAGAAATTAATGGGTGCCAAACGAGGGCTTAATCTGACAACTTATGTTATTTCACATTTGAATTTGTCTTGAGATTATCAAATTCAAGAAACCATTCTTTAATGGGACACGTGGAAAGTGCAGTCAGAATCAATAATTCATTCTTTTGGGTCTCTGCTGGTTGTATGACAAGGACAACATCCTAAATATCAAGATTATTCTTGCAAGCAATAGTTGCAGAGTCATCATAATTTTTTCCTTCTTACATGTCAGAAGTTTTCTTGAAACAATATTTTTATTAAGTGTCCCGTTTTTCCACAATAATAATATTTCCGAACTTGATTATTAGATTTCACTTGATTCTTATTTTTATCTTTGAATATAAGATTTTGGGGGTTTTCCTTTCTTGTAAGAATTGAGATTACACAAATTATTCTTATTTTGGTTCAGTTTTTCTTTTATATGTAATCCTCTACTAATTTTAGAATTTTTTTAACTCAATTTTTAGTTCAAGTTCTTTGTTCTTCAAAGTAGAGGTTATGATATCAACAATAAGATCTTCTCCCCCATTTTCTAAGGCATTTCCAATGTCTCTATATTTATCACTTAGTGAATTCAACAGGGCAACAACTTGTTGATCATCAGAAAGTTTATCATCACAGTTAGCTAAATCTTAAATTAATTTTGCGTATTTGTCAATGTTTTTTTCTAGGCCGTAGGAAGAGTCAAACCTAAAGTCATAAAACTGTCTTAGGAGGTAGCACCTATTTGACATTAGTTTAGTTGGGTAAAGAGTTCCTAACTTAGCCCATAAGGTTTCAGCAATAGCGGTTTCACCAACTTTCCTAATCACAATATCATACAGGTGAAGAAAGATGGAACTCCAGGCAACCTCATATAGTTCTTGTCTCCTATAGGCACTAATCTCAGCAGCCCAAGACCCATCAAGGGTAGTAGCACATCTCTGTTGTAACAACAAAGCTCTCATTCCCTGGTGTTAGAGATTGAAGTCTCTAGTATCATTTCATGTCTCAGCTTCAAATTTGTGTGCAGCGTACATGTTGACAAATATAATCACAAAATTACAATTATACAACACACAGAGTATTATTGATTCAAGCAGCTTAATAGAATTGCAGAAAGTGTGAATTTCGGAATATGCAGGTGTGAAGATTTGTGCCTACTTATCATGTAACTCACTCAATTACAAGTATTGCAGTTAACAATTATGATTGTCAATTTGAAAAGGTTTAAGGAGTGATAACCCTTGGTTCTACTACTCCCTCATATTCTCAGATCCTCGCAAGAGATCTTGGACAAAAGAAAGTAATGATAGATTACTAACCTTAATAATTAATTTCAAAATTAACAAAAACAGTTAACAAAATAAGGGGAGACCTTAGAAAAAATCAGAGTTTAAAATCTCAAAATTTCAGAATGAATGGAACAATCAGAAAATACCATAATTGAATAAAGAATCCCAATTTGAGTACAGGAACCCAACAAGTCCCAATAACTCAGTAAAACTTAGTAGTGAGTCGGGAACTCAGCAAGAATCGGAGTGAATCAATTCAACTCACCAACACTCAATATGAATTATAAGAACTACCAGGACTCAGTAGTGAGTTAAACTAAAATAGCCAAAACACAGTGTAAACAACATATTTACGGGTCTCCCACTTTTTTAACTACACATTTCATCATTTTTTTTTATCAAAATCTACCAAAAAATTGATTTTAATCTCCATCGAACATGGGCAAAATATGTGTATTGATAATAATTATTTTATAAATGGTAAAAGTAGAAGAAAATTAAAAAAAAGGTCAAAAATTACCAATTTGGTGGGTTGGGGTCAAAATTACACTACACCATTTTTAAGTGATTTTTAAACCATTCAAAATGATGCTAAATTTTTTTTGCAAGCATCGATTTTTCACATCCCTAATAAATAGTGTCATCCAAAATCGGGTGAAAATAAGACTCCCACGCAGGCCCTAAGTGCTCTAAATCTTTTAGCATTAATGATTTCACCCATCCTTCTTCAGACAAGTGGGTCCCTCTCTACACCAAGTGACTAAGATGCACTATTTTTAGGGCACAAAACAACAAAATCAGTCTCTTTTTTCCATTTAACTCCATTTATATATCATATAGTTGATCCGAAGCCCGAATAAAGGAATTACAACTTCAAATCTATTTTATCAAACACGCTTGATAAAATTGTTATATCAATTAAATTGTATACAAACTTTCAACTGCGTCACATTTTCGGAAAAAAATAAAATAAATAAAGCATTGTCATTTTAATTTTAGAATATTAAAAAGCATGGCAACGAGCCCCACCAACAGGTAAGATGGTAGGGCTAGCCGAGTCAATTTTTTTTGAACAAGCTGGCTCGTGCTAAGCTAGGCCCGAGCCAGCTCATGTGGTTGGCGCACATTAACATTCCTACGGTCAGCGGCAGCCAGCCAGCCAGCCACCCTCACTGCCATCCCCACCTCCACCTCAAAATATAAGTAAAATGAAAAGAAAACAATTCAAGTCCGTTTGACACTCAGCAAACTAGTCGCATGTCCTCCGACAGTCTCAAGGACAAAATACGTAAAACAATAAATACACGACTGCTATATATACCACGCCACCAGCAAAAAACAATTAATAACTTTTGTCTCCTCAAAATAACAAGAAAAAAACTTCAAAACACTAACATGGAATAAATCAGCTCTTCACTACCTGGACAGTGCATGCCCCAAGGTAAAAGATGTATCAAATATCTAGATATCAATCTACAACCACAAACACGAAAACAATCCATACATTTGAAAGTAGTTTTCCGCAATTCCTTTGCAGCACACTGCATTCGTACTCTAGTATGGCCACCAGTCTGGGCCACCAGGCTTCTTCACTAGGATCTGATTATATTCAGGTCTTGAGGTCTGCAGGAAAGTTCATAAATAGCTATATAAACTCTCGTACTTAATACTAAATTACAAATCGAAGCAGGGGAATGCGAGACAAACACACACACACAAAAGAAAACAAAATATAGGTACACCTCAGATTCTCAGAAAGGAATTCCCTCAGATTCTCAGAAAGCAAGAATTCCAGCTGATGAAATTCTGGCTATAAGCATATTGATTAATTAAATGATATATGGTCCAATTCAGCAAAAAGCTTACTCAACAGATTATCATATATAAAAAGAAATGAATGCAACATACAGAAATAATTGACCCTTTTCACGCTTACATAATACTGAAATCCATTTCTAGCCAACCCCAAAAATAAAAAATGTTAATTTATCAAATTAGATTATTACCTTTCCTAACATGTTTTCCAGATGTTCAACCTTTGAATTCGAAGCTCAATAAATTTCCATGCAAAACTTTTAAAAGGATAAGTATAGAGGTCACAGTTCACATTTATAAAATAAGAGAGAGCACCATTAGACTATACCAACTTCAATTCATACAAACTGATAATGCATTTTTTTTTTATAACCGTGGATGTCCGGGCCAGCTTGCGTGCACCTCGACTAACTCCACGGGGCCCTGAAGTTTACGGCCAGGTACTCACCTAAGTGGTCTTGAGGGGGCTCGAACTGGTGACCATTGGGGAGCAAACCCAAAGTCTGACCAATTGAGCAACCCTCGGGGTTACAAACTGATAATGCTTGGATGTACAGATATACAATTCCTAAGAGAAACCAATCTGTTGCAAAAATCTGCTTTGGAAATTTTTTGAAAAGAAAACTATACAATACAAGCTATCATGCCACACTATGATTGACCTCAAAAATTGAAGTCCAAGGGACACGCTAAAGATTTCTTCTTTATCCATTCTTCAGAACAAAATTAGAAAAGCGGACTAATGTTTCCTTGCACTTGTCAATCTATTTGATAATTTGGAAATGTCAAACAAAGACGAGGACATGTCCTACATTTCTTGTCATTCATTATTGCAGTCATCAATTTGATTAGCACCCAATGACCAAAATCGTAATCAAAATTCTAATTGTTTCGATCATTTCCAATATCTATCTTGGATGAAATATTCTCATCTTTTTAATAAAATTTGGAACATGATTGAGCTAGTTTACATGAATCAGCATTGAGGTTGCCGTCCACTATTGAAATTCCGTGAAAAAAAGCTTAAAATTCAATTTTTAAATGATGCAAAGTTACTTTAGATTAATGGGGCATAAAAATGGAGTAATGTGTCATTGTTTACTGTATTTTTACCTCTGAGGGATCAAAAAAAGGAAATTAATTAAGCAAATTGCTAGAGAATTTAAATATTTAAACGTTAATTCTCAAAATTACACCGACAATAAACCTAATCAAGGGCCATCTATACTACTCAATCATGCTACATGGACATTCGGGTTGACACCCCGAATAACACTTCCCTAGGGTAGAACCCACGCGTCAACCCTGGATGTACAAATAGCATTACTGATACTCTATATGCAAGTACGCTAATATGCTTATTTTCAATTGAATAACAGTCGACTGCTGATTGATGCAACTATTGTACTGGTTATCTCAAATATGAAAATAGTCCATAACCAAATAATAATCAATGAGAATTCTAAATAATAACGATAAATTATAGAATTAAAATGAAAAAAAAATTTTTTTTAACTAGTCCCCGGATTGCAGATCTTTGAAAATGAGGAAAGCGACGAAGAAGAAGAGTACGAATAGGATCTCGAATTCCGCTAAACGGACGAATGCAAACACAGAGTTCACAGCCCGAGTTACCACACCCACTGATTCTGGCTCGTCATCCCTTTTTCGCCGGCCCCCCACTGCTCCTACAATTCTCTTCCTCATTTTTTTTTGTTAATATCACCAAAACTGATTGTCAATTTCTCCGCTCCCTTGGAATCCCCTTCTAGAATCAATCAGTAAAGAATACCGAATTTAATTGGAATTGAAATTGGGGATGAGAGAGATCAGATTACCCTTGAAATGTTAATTTCGATGAACGAACGATCAAAGTTGAATCAGATATATTGGGGATTTCTTCTTTTGACTTTGACCAAAACTAGGACGGCGCAAATAATTAGTTTTAGAATTGGCGACAAAATCCCTATTGTTTGCCTTTATTACGAAAATCATCCCCATTATTTTAATTTTTGGCATGTGAACCCTCAAATCAACTTTTCTTTTCTTTGCGTGAAACATCCTTACGGTCTTTTTCCTTCTTTAAAGTTACACTCCTCTTACATGAACATAATAATAGAAAAGAACAAAAAGAAACAGAATCATTCCATTCAATTAATGAAAAACAGAATCATTAATTATTAGAAAACTTAATCGACCAGGTCAAGTTCATGGAGTTGAGTGCAAAAATAGAAAAAGATGAAGTAAAGGTCGAACTAAATGGTAGAGTTTGTGCTGAAAGGAGCCTTTAGAAGTATAGGACGAGCTCATCCATGTCAACAAGTCAAGATCGACCAACATAGCGACCTGACTAGCTCAACGTGACGTGATTATTGTTAAAAATTGAAGGGTGTGATAGTAGTTTACGCAAAGTACAAGCTTAACATATGATGTCATTCTAGAACAAAGGTGACGTGACTAGCAAATATACAATCTAAACGTATCTTGTATCAACCACGACCTCCATAAAATAATGCGGGATATGCAAGAAATTTGGGAAGTTTTGAGTCAATTTGTAATTGTTCATTTTTAGGGGTTTCAGTAGAAATATTGAAAAACATGCTTTTGATTAAGAATATGCATATTTAATTCTTTCCTTTTGCATTACCTTTTGAAAACTCATTTACGTGAATTTTTTTATGTTCAATCCATATTTAGAACGTTTAGGGACCAAACTGAAATTCAAAAGTTGACAAGTTTGGGTCCAATTTTCAGTTTTTCATTGTTCAATGAACTAAACTTCAATTTTAGAAAATGTATATTGTAGCATTAGAAATTAATAATTTGAGTTACCCTCATGTTAATGTTAGTTAGGATTTATAAAGTTAATTTGGATTTTTTCGATTTATTGGGATCGGTAAAAAACTTAATTTAAGCGTGTTACACCAATAGAGTTTAGCAAGCATGCTACACGTACGAGGCCCCATGAGCCCTACACAGCCAATATTACCCCATAATTTAGTCCAAACCAGCTTAACCCAGGCCTATACAAGGTTCATAATGCTTAAGTTTCGCCTCGATTTTTCCTTTATTTAGCACAAATTTTAGAGCTACATAAACAGGTTCAAAAGGGGGAGGCAAGTATCGACACATAATTGGACTGTTTGAAAAAAAAATAAAAACTCGAACGGCTACTGCCAACTCAGTTTGTTCATCATTTCCTTGTCTCTGAGTTTATTCGATCATCATTATTCCTAAAATATTTAGTTATGTCCATATCAGATTTTTAGTTTGTTTGGTGTAGATTAAAAGTTGATAAAAATATCAATTAAAGTCAACTATTAAATTTAACAACATATTTCATGGTATCCACAACTCTTTAACAACATATTTCACCAATTCTTATCAAAATCTACTAAAAATCTAAATTTTAATCTACACCAAACATAAGCTTCGTTAACAGTATTAGATTTTATTTTGCATTGATGGTCCTCATTTTTTTTATTTCAGCACTTTTGTCCCCATTTTATTTTAGTTTTTTCGTTCATTCTTAATCAACTAGCATATCATGTCTCTAGTTACGATTTTCGTCCAAATATTCTACTAGTATGGGAAAAACTATTTTGTCGAACTTTCATATTTAGTATTTATCTTGCTTCTTAAAAATACGCGAGTCAAATTAACCCCTATTTTACAACCAATATTTTCAAATTAATTCAAAGTTAAGCTAAAATTTTAGATAAAAATAAGTACTTTTTTTTTATCCAAACAACTCCTACCATCAAGAGAAGCGAAAAGTGCAAAATTGAACTTCGATAATATATTTTCTTCAAAATTAAAATAAAAAGTAATTAATTAATATTAGAAAGCATCTTTAATTTGTATTGGAAACTCCTTGTCACCACATCAATGGATACTATCTAAAATGGCGTAATAGCCAATTAAGAGAGGAAGTGATATTGTAGTGCCAAAAATTACCCTGAAATAAAACAATAAAACAACTGTTAATTTATGATATTATACATACATATAAAGATATAAATAATAATAATAAAAAATTCCATAATTATTTAATAAGCAACTTACGCAGTACTAAGTAATTGTGAGTGCAATCCATACTCTTGAGCAAAAACAAACGACGCGATCGCTTGTGGCAATGCAGCCTTCAACAAACAATATAAATTTATATGCAGACAAAATTAGCGATTCGATTTGAATAGTTTTAACGTATTTTTAAACCAAAACATTAAATTGAGTCAAATCATAACATGTACATACCCCTATGATTGCTACACGAAAGATGTCAATATAAATTTATGTGCAGAAGAAATTAACGATTCGATTTGAATAATTTTAACGTATTTTCAAACCAGAACATTAAACTGAGTCAAATCATAACATGTACGTACCCCGATGATTGCTATACGAAAGACGTCAATGTGGAGACGTAACGCAAAACAACCAATAGCCATACTAATTGGTCCAACGACGAACCTCAATACCATACCCAATAACGTTAGACGAACACCGGAAGCTATCACTTTCTCTTGCAATGCCATAAAAAGTCCTGCACATATAAACATACATAAAGACAACATATATCTAGTCCCCTATGCGGTGTAGCTTGAAATCAGATTTTAGTAGATTTTAATAAAAAATGGATAAAATATATAGTTAAAAAGTTGATAAAATTGTGGGTTCCATGAAATGTGTAGTTAAATTTAATTATGGAATTTAACTTAAATTTTTGTCAACTTTTTAAGCTACACCAAACAAGGCCTAAAATGAATCATGATGTACATGCATACATACCCATGTTGAACATGGCAACGCCACCCCCAGCCCTTGACATTATCAATATTGAGCCTTCAAGAATGGAGGGCATTTGTAAATGCCACCTAAAAGCAAAGAGAAAGTTGAATTTTTCTTTGATAAACTGTAAAATTCTGTATTAAGAAATTACTGAGAAAAAATCTACATGTATCGTGTATGTATATATACCTGTTAGCTAAAAGGGCCCAAATGATGCCAATAAAACATGCGTAAGAATTTGGATTCTTCGCAAGTTTACTCCACACAGTCTTCATCAACGATAAGAAAGATGGTGGTGTTCTACTCGCAGTAGAATCCATTCTCTCTTCCACAATATCATCATTGCTCCCCATTTCTATCGATGACAATTCATGTACGGTCGAGATTACCGATGTATCGCTCCTCGTACGTCTGAATTCGAGCAAGAATAATAGCGTAGGGAACCACAAGAGACACTGGATAACTGACGACTGTATAACAAGATTAGCTCCCATTTCATCGTACATGGCTTTCAATAGTGGAACTCCTACGACAAGAGTGTTATTCAAACTTGATAAAGAGAAGCATGTTACAGACCAATCATACGACCCTTTGCTACTTAAATTAGCCCACAGAGCTAACACTATGCCGACGAGGGCTTTAGATATAACGTCTGCGGCAAGGAAGAGATAATTCATCTTATAAGGATTGACATGAGATATGAACTCGAAGGTGAAAAATGGCATTATGAAATAGCAATTGAAGCGGTTTATAGCATCACAATGGTCTGGTTTAAACATATGCCACCATTTTAAAGAGCCATAGCCTAATGCCAGAGCTGCGTACAGCGGCACCATCGCCACTACTATCTTGTAAACGTCTTCCAACGCTATCATTTTTTGAAGAATTTTTGCAGACTAGTTTTTGAATGTGCACTTCACAAATATGAAATGTTTTTGCATGCATATATGTGTATATATAGTCATTAATTAATAATGGAATACCTTTTGTGTTAATGGAAAAAGGACACTGATTTTGTTGTGTTGTGCCCTAAAAATAGTGCATCTTAGTCACTTGGTGTAGAGAGGGACCCACTTGTCTGAAGAAGGATGGGTGAAATCATTACTGCTAAAAGAATGAGAGCACTTAGGGCTGCGTGGGAGTTTTATTTTCACCCGGTTTTGGATTATACTGTTTACGAGAGATTGGAAGAATCAGTGCTTGCAAAAAAATATTTTAGCATCGATTTTGGATGATTTAAAATTACTTTAAAACAGTTTAGTGTAATTTTGACCCCAATCCACCAAATCGGTAGTTTTTGACCGTTTATTAAATTTTTTTTCTACTTTTACCCTTTATAAAATAATTATTTTCAACAAACATATTTTAACCATGTTTGATGGAGATTAAAATCAAATTTTTAGTAGATTTTGATAAAAGTTGATGAAATGTGTGGTTAAAAAATTGTGAGACGCGTAAAATATGTGGTTAAAATTAATTGTTAACTTTAACTTATATTAAAATCTAGATTTTAATTTCTGTCAAACATGAGTTTTGTATACTAACTAAAAAAATTATATTATAATTTAAAAAAAAACCCGAGACGGCTCGAGCCGAAAGCTCAGACCGAGCCTCATTTTTTTGGCAGAGCTTTTGCTCGACTCGGGCCCAATAAAGCTCCGACCTGTTTTGCTCTAGCCGAACCCGAACTTTGAGTTTCGACTCGTGGCTCGGCTCGTTGACATGATTATATATAACTAAGAAAGACTAACATAAAATTTTAAGTAAATATTTTAACTTTATTTAATTTTTTTAAGTTGAATATTAACTTAAATGTAAAAATATTACATATAAGTAAAATATTACTTATAAGTAAAAAATTTCATACTCAAAATTTCTAGTATATGTAACTTTACTTTCTTTAAAAACTTTCACAACTGATAAATAATAAACTCTCAAACATAAATTAGACTATTTTAAAAATCACTACTAAAATCAATTATAACTGATCCGCTCGGTACTTTAAAAAATGCTCATAACCGGTATGTCGGAACTCCCAAGCAGGCTCTTATGGTTTATCGTCATTATCGAAACTTCTAATATTTTGTAGTGACTTATTTGTAATTAAGATAGAGATTTTGGATCAATTTGAATTTTTTTAAAATTTATCAAGTGTTAAGTTGCAAATACTGAAAATTTTACTTTTCAGCTTTGAATAATAAGATCATTAATTGCTAAAAAGACTGGACTCATTTCAAGCTTTAACGAAGTTTTGAACTAAATTGCTATTCTAAAAGTTTAAAAAAATGAGAGCTTTTAACAATTTTGACAAGTGATAAGTGACAAATGAGAACAAGATTTAAGGGTCCGAATTTCGTAGTTTTCACTTTTAACGGTGGATTTTAACTTGGGTTAACTACTTATAACTAACTCGATCACTTATTGCTTAACTAATTAATTGACTTATGCAAAACCCTAACCATCTTAAAACCTCCTAACCTTATATGCTAGAGGTTGATTTATACTGAATTGAGCTTAAACTAGTTGAACTAAGCATGAGAAATTAACTCCTAGTCCAATCAATAGACCTTGGACAAAACAACGGAACGGCCAAACACCTACCCCGCCAAGCAAGAGTAGAGAGGTAAAAAAAAAACCGTCCTCGAAGGTGGCCGAATTGGTGGAGTAGGTGAACGCGGAGACCAAAAACCACGAGTTTGAATCATCTGCCAACACTTTCTCTGTCGAACCTCTCGCACCGGATTTGCCTAGTGCTATTTACCTCTCCGTGTGGTTTGCGGGTTACTGCACATGAAGCGGGGTTTACTTAGTGCGCACTCACAGTGGTCGCCGGTCTGGGCTCAGCTGGCAGATAGCGGCTGTGGGTTCCTACGTCAATTAAAAAAAAAAAAAAGAAAAGAGAGGAGAGGTAAAATAAGGTCGCAAGGTACTTTCGAGTTTTGATACAATTTTTTATATTCAAATTCAAGATTGTTCTCCAAATTCCAACTTATTTTCTTTCATAAAATATTTTGGGAAAAGATCCAACGAATAATATTCTGTTGTCGAGATTCAGTCCTATGATTCCACGGGTGACTCATAGTTTAACCATACTTAGTGACGTCGGTTTTCCACTTGCATAATGCTTCTCTTAGTCATACCATGTTATTTTTTCACAATTATATATATATTGAATTATGTACTTTGTGTTCTTAGGTTCTGAATATGCTGCGTATAATAGAAATTAAGGTACAATCAAAAGTGTGTGTATATATAAAATATAGTCAATCGCATGTATGTATGTATGTATATATGCATGCATGCTGAGATGAGTTTTCATTTATTTATTATTTTATTCAGAAAGGAGAAGTATCAAACTAAACTTTTGTTTCTATTTGAGAAATTAACTAAGTCATTTATATTAATGTGGCTGCAAGTGGATTGGTCTAAACTGAGTTACTAAACAAAAATTTAATATGTTATTTGTCGAGACACTTTTCACCTTGATAAGTTATGAACTTCTCGAACTTGGGTATCAAAATAAGCTCACTTAATTTCCTTCAAGTAGAGAGTTCGAAAGTGACAAGGAGTCAGAAAGAGACACTACAATCAATGCATGATCACGTATAGGGTTGGACATGTGTCGGTTCGGTTCGGTTCTCTTCAGAACCGAACTGACCCAAAAGTTTCGGGTATTTAATAAATGGAACCGTCGAGTCCAAATATAATTATGGAACCGTTCGGATTCGGTTCAATTCGGTTCGACTCCGTATCATAATTAAATTTTTAACATTTACAGCAACACTACATAAATACAACTAATGACATGTTCATTTGTAACTTTTACAAACTAACGTGACCCAATTTAAAAACATATAAATAACAAGTTGTCCAATAAGATTAATTCAATGTATACAAAAATAAAAAAGTAGATACTAATAATAAAATATCGATAATCCACATCAATAATTCATTTACTTCAAGCAACTTGCATAAAGAAAATAAAATATAAATTATAAATTATAAAAATTAAATTTTTTTAATTAATTCAGTATAAAAAATTAAAAAAATTATTTAGATTCGATTTTTCGGTTCTTGGTTCAGAATCGAGAACCGACCCAAACTCATCGGTTCTCGATTCAAATATCCGTTCAGGTATTTAACTTATGACAAACAGCTCGGTTCGGTTCGATTAGGTCCAGTTCAGTTCGATTCGTGAGTTTTGTCTAGCCCTAATCATGTCTTCGGATAAGATTCTTTAGCTTTTACTTTGTCGTGCCCTGATAGGGTCAGTGTTCTTATATTATACCTTTAATTGAAGGTCGAGTCCCTTCTTAAGTCTGTATTATGTTATGTTTCATTATTACTAGAGCACCCATCTCTATAAATCAACGGGTTTGGTGAAAAGATTCTTTCATTATATAGTATCAGGATCGCCATCTGTCCCATTGACATCGAACACATCAATACAATATTTTATAATGAAAATCATGTCTTTTCTACAGGTGATCCCACTTTCCAGACTTGTATAAGTGCTACATGAGGAAATTGAGATCAAATTCCATTCATAGTATTCCCCACAGACAGAGTTATGAGTCACTTTTATCTATCAAATAACAATTGTAAATTATAGGTGGAAGATGCAAAGTTTGGTATTTGTTCCTCTCCTCAATTGATTAAGTAATTCCCAGCCCACTAATGTAAATGTTTTGGTGCTTCACATAGTGCGTAAGTGCCTAAAATAAGTAATTTTGGACTTTAAGCCCATAGCTTAGCCATCATTAATGGAGGAAAGTGCTTTAAAAACCACTGTTTAGAAATAGGATTTGGAGTGAGAAACTAATGGCCATAATAGTTTTTGGGTCCGCACTTACTAGTAATTTAAATGGAAGGAGTAAAATAATAAATATAGAATTTTAAACGCCAAAAAGTCAAAATCGACTAGCTTAGCAGGCTTGACTCAACATGTGAATCCCGAATATTTAAAAACGTAATGTAGTGAAATCAAGATTTTCACGTGGGGTGAGGGGACGAAAAATATTGAAAAGGTAAAATATAAGTGTCTCATGTATATGTTAAAAATAGTTTAGAATTTTTACGTGGGTCCGTCCTGTTGTGGCTCCACGGCGTGACAACATTGTACCGAACATGCAAGCTTAACACAATGTCCACTTCAAAGTGACAAAAAAGTGTTCGAACCAAAAATACCTTGTAACACACAAAACCTCCATATAATCTTATATGTGGGATGAATCATGCTACAATACCAAGGCCTATGTGGTCCTAGTAAAGGAGATTCATCCTATGTGGGACATGCGTGAAGTTTTGAGGCAATTAGCATATTTTTAGTATTTAAGGACTTAAGTATAAATATTTAAAAAAAACATGCATTTTACTAAGAAAATGATAAAGTTTATGCAAATAATGATACGATCATTACATAATATGATACGAATTTAAGAAAACTTATTACTTACAAATAGTACTTTACTGATAATTAATAAAGCGTGTCGTAATTTTCATCTATCATTCATATATATCTATTACTAGGGATAACAATGGTTCGGTTCGGGGTCGGTTGGGTCAAAATCATAACCGCGCCACCAAATTTTTGGACATACCATAACTTCGCCATAACCACATAAGTCAATTCAGTTCGGCTCGGTTCGTATCTCAGTTCGGTTCGATTCGATTAATAACCACGAAAATAAATTATTTTTTATAAGTCTAAACTCCGACCGTCAAATTGAAAAAAAAAAAATTATGAAGAAAAATCAATAAAAACAAAAATATAATATTAAGTCAATTTAGCAAACAATATCCCAAATGAAAATGCAAATAATATCTCAACTTCCGAAAGCAAAATTCGAATTTAACAAACAATATTATCACCTAA